TGGTGGACTGCCTTGCAAGCACAAGGACCCGAGTTCAATATCCGGTAACAAAAAAAAAAAAAAAAAAAAAGAAAAGAAAAAGAAACAGCAACCTGGAAAGAAGCAGGGGTAGCTGTCTTATTCACAGCCAATGTGAATTTTAAACCAAAACTAATTAAGAGAGACAAAGAAAGCCACTACATCCTTATAAAGGGAAAAATCCAAGAGGAAGAGATGACAATCATAAATATATATGCACTAAACATTAATGCCCCCAACTATATAAAACAAATATTAAGGGACATGAAAAACCAAATAAGTACTAATACAATTGTAGTGTAATACATTATTACAAATAGACAGATCATCTAGACAAAAAGTGAACAATGGAATACTAGAACTGAACCAAGCTTTTGAACAAATGAACTTCGTAGATGTCTACAGGGAGCTCCACCTCATAAAATTAGAATATACATTCTTTTCAGCTACACATAGGTCATTCTCCAAAATACATCACATACTAGCTCATAGAAAATGTTCAAATGAATGCAAAGAATTGAAATTATTCCATGTATATTATCAGACCATAATGCAATTAATCAATAGCATAAAAAATTGCAAGAACTTAACAAACACATGGAAATTGAACAACACTCTCCTGAATAATTAATGGGTCACAGAGGAAATTAAAGAAGAAATCACTTTTTAAAAATAAATGATAATGCCAATACAACATATAGAAATCTATGGGATACAATTAAAGCAGTTCTACATGGAAAATTCATAGTAGTGAATGCCTACATTTTGAAAAAAGATCAAGCTCAAGTAAATAACCTAATGATGAATGTCAAGCTCATAAATAAAAGGGGCAAGAAAAAGCCAAAACTCATACAAAGGATGAAATTATAAAGATCAGAGTAGAAATCAATGCAATGGAAACTAGGAGAATGGCAGGAAAAAAATCAATTAATTGAAGAGTTGGTTTTTGAAAGTATAAATAAATTCAATAAACCCTTAACCAACCTTGTCAAATAATAGGAAAGCAAAAGCTCAGATTCATGCAATTAGGAATGAAAAAGGTGAAGCCACACAGCTCCAGCAGAAATCCCAAGCATCATCAATACCTACTTTAAGAACCTGTACTCTAATAAAATAGAAAGCACAGAAAAAATGGACAGATTTCTAGATACTTATGAATTAACAAATTTGAATGAAAAAAATTATAAACACCCCAATTACAGTCAGTGAAATTGAAAAAAGTAATTAAAAATTTACCAACAAAGAAAAGTCCAGGTCATGATGGCTTCACTGCTGAATTCTGTAAGACATTTAGAGAAGAACTATTGCCACTACTCTTCTGAAGCTGAAGGGAAGCAATACTTCCAAATTCATTCTTGGAAGCAAGTGTTACTTTGACTCCAAAGCTAGGGAAAGACCCAACTGAAAAAGAGAAATACAGGCCATTCACCCTAATGAACATAGATGCAAAAATCCTCAGTAAGACTCTAGCAAAAGCGTACACAGGGTCATGAAGATGATTTTGCACTATGACCAAGTTGGATTTATTCCAGAGATGTGAGGATGGCTCAACATACATAAATCAATAAATGCAATACTCTATATCTCAGTGAAGGAAAAAAAACATGATCATCTCAATAGATGTGGAAAAAAACATTCCACAAAATTTAACAGGCACTCATGATAAAAAAAATTGCAGAACATTGGAATTGATTGCCTTTTTCTCAACTTTATAAAGGCTATCTATGAAAAAACCAACAGCCAATATCATATTAAATGGCTCAAACTGAAAGTCATGCTGAAATCAGAAACAAGACAAAGATGTACACTATCACCACTCCTGTTCAATACTGTTCTGGAAACAGCCACAGCAATAAAGATAGGAAAGGAAGAAGTTAAACTGTAACTCTTTGCTGACAACATGATACTTTATATAGAACACCCAAAAATCTCTGCCGAAAGACTTCTAGATTTAATTGGCAGATTCAGCAGAATAGTTGGATATAAAGTCAACCCTAAAAAATCAATAGCTTTCTTATACACAAATAACAGACTCATTGAGAGAGAAATTAGGTCAACAATCCCTTTCACAATAGCATCTAAAAAATGATGTATCTAGAAATCAATCTAATAAAGGAAGAAAAAAGACCTTTACACTGAAAACTACAGCACTCAGGAAAAGAGATCAAAGAGGATATAGAAAATGGAAAGACACCTTTTGCTCCTGTGTATGAAGAACCAACATAATGAAAATGGGCACACTTCCAAAACTGCTCTAAAGAATCAGGTCAATCCCTATTGAAATCTCAACAGTATATTTCACAGAAAAAGAGAAGAAAATTCAAAAATTCATTTGGAATTAGAAGAGACTGAGAAAAGTAAAAACCATCCCAGACAACAGAGGCATGACAGCAGGTAAAACAATCCCTGATTTGAAACTGTGCTACAAAGCCACTGTGATAAATACAGCATTGCACTGGCAAAGAAACAGACCTGAGGATCAGTGGACTAGACTAGAAGATGCAAAAGAACTCCAGATTTACTCAGCTACCTCATCTTTGACAAAGGAACCAACCATCTTCACTTTAGGTAAGATAGCCTCTTCAATATATTGTGTTGGCAAAACTCAATTTCAACCTGCCAAAAGTTAATACTAGACTCATCTTTTATGCACTAAAACTAAAATGCTTTTTGTATAAAATGGCAAACTACTCAGCCACAAAGAATGAGAAACTAGAGTCATTTACAGCTAAATGGATGCATATTGAGGCCATATTCTTCGGTGAAATAAATAGGACACACCTGTAAATACAGAATAGTGGATGAAGGATATAAATATTAAAACAGAAACACTAAACTTGCTGGATGATAATTTAGGTAGAACTCTCAAATACATTGGCATAGGAAATGACTTTATGAACACATCCTCAGTAGCATATGAACTAGCAAAAAGAACAACTAGGATCTCATCTTATTAAAAAGCTTCTGCACTGAAAAAAAACCAGCAGTGGAGCTAAGAGACAACTTACTATGTGGGGAAAAGTGTTTATCAGTTACTCAGACAAAGGACTATTACCTAGAATATATAAAGAACTCAATAAAATCAGACCCCCAAATATAAAGACCCTGTTCAAAGATGGGCATTTGATGATGAACAAACATTTCTTCAAACAAAGAAAAAAAAGCAGCCAATAAACATATGAGAAATGTTCAGTGTTACTGGTATTGGAGAGATGTAGATGAAAACAACACTGAGATTTCACCTCACCCCAGAAAGAATGGCTGCTATCAAGAAATCAACCAATAACAAATGTTGGTGGGTTTGTGGGTGAAAGGATCTCTTCTCCATTGTTGGTGAGAGTGCAACCACTGTGGAAATCAATATGGAGATGCATCAAACAATTGTGATTAGAGGTTCCACTTGACCCAGCTATTCCTCTGCTGGGTATCTTCCCAAGAGAATGAAAGGAATCATACCAGAGCAATATATGTGCACCCATTTTTTTATAGGCATAGTTTGTAATAGCTAAAATTTGAAATAGCTCAATTTCCCATCAACTGGAGAAGGTATAAAGAAGATGCATTTTTTCTATAAAATGGTGTGCTACTCAGCCATAAAGAATGAGGAGCTAGAGTCATTTATAGCTAAATGGATGCATATTGAGGCCATATTGTTAAGTGAAATAAATGGGACATGTGTAAATACTGAATAGTTTCTCTGCTTTGAAAATCTAAAAATGTAAGTAAGATCTACATTGTATAACTGATAGTGTGAAATAGGAGCAAAGGGGCTAAGGGTGTAGGGAAGTGGAAGGGATAGGGAAGAGGAAATAAAGGAAAAGAAAACTATGAAAAAAGGAAAAAGATGCGAAAAATGTTTGTAAATAGGGGAGGGGAGGGGGGATAAATGGAGGGCAGGGTATGGGGAGAAAATGAGAACCAAGATCTGTCTTGTAAAGCTGCAAGATCCCAATGATGTATGTAACTGTACTTTATATCTAAAAAGTACAAATAAACTCAATGAAAAGTTATAAAATGTAGGTGATGTTTTTGTACCCTGTACTAAATGAAATTAAACCGTTACAAAAATGTTAACTATAAATTATTCCATTCATATGACTTACATAAAATAGTCAAATTAATAGAAACAAAAACTAGAATGGTTATTGTGAGGGCATAGAAATGGGGAAGAATGGGGAAATGTTTAATGGATGTTGAGTTTCAAGGAAAGAAAAGTTCTAAGGACTGTTGGACAGTGGTATGATTGTATAAAATGATGTCTGGGCTGTGAAATGGTAGAGAGGCTAAATTTTATATTTGGTGTTTTTAATAAAATTTAAAATCCTCTCTAAAATCTATATACAACATTTTATTCTTTCCCCTATTAGTTACCTAAATTATGATAAAATCCAAACAGTTTTGAAATCAATATGTAATTTTTCCTACTTGTACCTTTGTGATAATGATAATTTTGTTACTGCTTCTAGATCTTTCCAGTTTCTCTCTTGAACAGTATGTGTTAGCTTGACTTCAAAATAAAATGTACTGATCTGTCAAATCACTCTGAGGGATGCTGTCAATGATGGAAAATGGCACAAACATTGGAACTATGTGGGCTCTACTTGGCTAAGTATGACTGACAAGGTAGCCTTTTCTTGAGGACAGAGACAGGTGATTGGGATCTGAGACCATCAAAGATGATGTGTTTTCCTGTATCTTGGATGGGCAATGGAGAATAATACAGATTTCCTAGAGAATCAGTGATTTCAGTTGAAAAAACTTCCTACAGTAGAGGGAGGAGTGTAGATCCCTTTCAGGCCTCCTTGGTTTGTGTTATTATAACATTGCTTCTAATCAGTCTTTTAAGAAAGGACAGTTCAGCTCTATTTTCTTCCTACTTTTCTCTACTCTTTGCATTATCAACAGCTTCCTGACAACAATAGCACTGAGGTGTAGTTTTGTTTTCCCTTTTTTAAGATGTGTGATGCCCAGTTACTCAGCTGGTTCTTCCTGCTCGACTGCTGATGCTCACACACAGATGTGCCCAGAGCAGGCTGTGAGGTGGAACCTACCTTTGGGTGAACTTACCTGCCAGTGCTACAATGGTAAGAACTTTGGGGTTTGATAGCAAGTCCTAATGATAAAATTTTAACGCTAACATTCTGATCAGGATTGTTATTTTCATGTAAAAGATAATAGACTTATTCTTGACCATAAAAATAATAAAATCATTCCTCTCTAAAATTTTATAAGAGAAGAGCTACTGACGAAGAGTCCCTCTAGGGGACATGTTTTCTAGTTAGGGTCTTCCTTCTTTTCATCTACCTCCCATGGCTGTCTTAGCATCTCTACATGACTAATTAGCACTCTCCCTGCTGATTTAGAATAATGGAAACCTCAACACAAGAAGGTCAAAATTTGAGAACAGATCATATTAAATTCTAACCTTTCTTTTGAAAAGCATCATTCTTTAATTTGCACAAACTCATGGGAAAAATTAACTTCTCTCATTTGTAGTATCCATAAAATGGTAGAAAAAGTGTACCAAAAGAAAATCAAATTCTATTATTTAGTTGAATTTATTGTTAGCTTTTGTCTCAAAATTGAGTATATTTTTGGAATACTTATGCCTATAAGCTACCTGTAAGTGTGAAAATAAATTGTGTCATCCTTGTTTTTTCATTATGCCAAATCTTTATCACATTTATGTGTAAAGGTATTTTTATACAATTATTAATGACATATTTTTATTACTTATAAATGTAGAAAATATATAACACATGATTATTGTAGTAAGATGATACATGCTTTCCTAAAACAAGTTACTTATTTAAAATTTATTGGCATATTGTGTATTCTCATTGTAGTACATAAGATCAAAAAATTTATTTACTCACTCATTTAGAACAAATTTGCCTAGCATTGATTATGAACAGAAATATATTATTAAAACTAATATCAATTAATTCATTGTCAGCAGGATTCTATCCAGCATCTTTCATTGCAGTTATCATAGAATACACTTGTAGTTTTGATCCTATTTCAACATTAAGCTCATCATTACAGCTTCCTTATTTATTTATTGTAATGCTTTATGTACAATAGATACAAAAGTATATATTGGGATTTTAGTTTTCTATGACATGCACTGTTGTATTTTTCTTTAGAGTCTTTTGCTGACCCAGGATAAATACTAATTTTGCTACAGTAAGAAGATCTTATATTATGTAATCCTCCTAACAACCAGTAAATCACAGAATAATATTCTTTCACCTTGGAGATATTAAAATTGTTGCAACACAGTCTGATGAAGTAACACACCCAAGAATATAAAATGATAGGCCCTAGTGATTTCAGCTTAGAAGATACGCCTATAGTCATTACATTGTGCTGTTTCCATCAGCAAGAGGTGGAGAGCAAAGAACACATATTCTAGAAACATTAACAAGCAAACTTGAAGTCCTGAAGACTGAAAAATCAGTTTCTTAGGTGAACAGTAAATAATGTGGAAAAATGATTGCAGATTTAAGCCAAACACAAACATACAGAACCCTTGAAAACTACACAAAAATTAGCTTTTAACACTGCAGCCATTGGTTTAATTAAAAAAAAAAATATATATATATATATATATATATATCTTGCTGGTCTCTTTAGGGGAATGTTTAAGGGAGAAGGATGACCACGAGTAATAGTCATGTTTTCTAATATATGTCTCAGTTTTTCTGGGGAGATAATGATGATTTTACCACGCCTATTGTGCTAGTAAATGGAATAAAATGGATGTAAAATATATTAACGACGGAGAAATCAGGGGCTTGGTGATAAATTGTCTGTAAGGAATGAGAAAGGAATGAAAAACAAAATGCTATTTATTATTTCTAAGTGATCATACAAACACACTTGGCATTTTGTGTGAGATGTTGCTTTGTTGAAATGGTTTAAAATAGATATTATGAGCTCATGCTGTGTTTCATTGAGACCTGAGATTTAATCATAATTTAGTTACATAGTTACTCAAATTCCTATCTATGTAATGTTTTTATGCAACTAAGTAAGTTGCCATGCCAAAGTAACAGTGACAATAGATGTAAATGTTCTACATAAATGCTCAGTGCAGAATTTGGAACATACAGTGAATTTTTGTAGTATTATTAGCATTGGATTACATGATAAGAGAAGAAGTTCAGCCTTAGCCAATTATCAAAGTAACTCTGAATGTAAGTTGGAAAGCAAATACTTGAATTCATGCCAGTGAATCTGAAGACAGGGCATGAATTGTAACTATTATTCCCATCTGGATTAATGCTATTTCTGGATGAAATAAGATGTAAGCTCTTGGATTTAATGTCATTGAACATAATTCCTAGGAAAGGCAAAATTTGGGAAATGGGAAGAATAAAAAAAATGTAAACCAAGTTAAAAATTAGTGACCAAATATCTGCAAGGACTCTAGAACCTTCATTGATAATGCAGTCTTTCATGAGGGAGGGAAGGGGTCTTAATGTCAGAAGTGAATGAGGTGTTGAGTAAAATAATGTTTGAAATGTATCTGTGAAGGTTTATGCAAGGACATTGTTAATTTGCGGAGAAATACTAAAAGATACCAAAAACTGGGTGTCAAATGCTTTCTGAATAATACAGTGCTTAAAAGCAGAGCTGCCTCTTACTGGAGAGATCAGGATTTTTGTCAAGTAGCCAATCTTTAATTGTGATGGAGAAAGAGCCCTTGAAAAATGATTGTTCAAATGCCTAAGAGCAAGTTCAACAACAATTTTATTCACAAAGCATGAAAATGCTAATGCTTCATCCTTATTATGAAGCTTCTAATGAGACACTGAAAATGAAGTAACAAGACTCCATTCCGATGATAATGACTGAACCCAGAATGAGATGTAGTGATACCACATTTCCAATTCAATTTCTAAGAATTAATATTAAATTTTTCAGCCCTCTGCAGGAGTCGAGTGGCTCAATTTAATAGACTTTATTGTAATGTGTTGTACAAATTCAGAATTTAAGCTAATGGGTTTTCTACATTTAACCTCTATTTTCAAAATTAAAAAAAACATTTAAAAAGGTCTATTTATTAAATTAATTTTGCAGTTTATAGATTAACATTCTTGGATACTGGAACTGTAATTTATTTAGTTAATTGCCACGGCTTTGTCAGAGGCCTGTGATATCTTTCTTGTTGCTTCCTCAAACAGTGTTTCCTCCTCACCCGAAGCTACGAGCTCTAGAAGAATATATTGCTTCTTCCTCATGAGAAATCTATATTCTAAATGTAATATTATCCTTTTTTATAGTCCTTTGCCTAATTATGTTTCAAATATTTTTGTGAAATAGAGATTCTATGGGACTGTTATGGATATTATTTTGTGTAAAGCTTTTCAAAACTTGCACAACTTGCTTCAGAACAAGTCTGATTAGACTGTTGAACACCAGTGTGATATAGGTGTAAATGGTAAATCTGACTGCAATTTAAAAATGTATTTTTAAACAGTTTTGGGTTTTCCCAAAAATCAAAAATATTATATACTAAATTAACTTACATTCCACACTCAGAAAACCCCAAAATTGTATATTCACGTAATACATCTGCTACACATAAGTGACAGACACAGATGCATTATTATTTATAAAAGTGCATGTTTTATTCACACTCAGTTTTTGTCTATTGCTTTTTCCTGTGTTAGGATCACTTCCTGGTCACCATGCTGAATTGAATCATTGTGAATTACTAAGCTTCTCTTGATTGTGAAGGAAGAGTTGTTTCTCAGAATTGTTTGATAACCTTGGCGATTCTGAGAACTCACTGTTTATGTATATCATAGAAAATGCTCAATGAGGCTTTATCTGATATTTTTCTTGTTATTAAACTTCGTGTTATTTTGGAAAGAAGTCCACTGAGATATGATGACCATTCCCATTACATCACATGAAGGATACAAACTAGCACACGGCATCATCGGTGATGCTGACTTTGAGGAAGTGTTACAAGATTTGTCCACAATAAACACTCTTCTCGCTTTCTATATCCAGAAGGAAATCTCTTTAACAAAATTCTCACCGGAGTAAGATGTTACACTTGAACTCTTTCAATGGTAAAATTCATCCTTAGCAGAGAGTTGTCTTATTTTTCCTCTCTTATTAATTTATTCAATCATTTTAATAATCATTTGCTCATTTATATAATATTTTGTATGTAAACACCAGATTATCTTAACTTTTTGTAGTTTAAACTGTTCTAGCTTTGGCCATTTGGGATCCCTTTGACTTGATTACTTTGTTCAACTGGTATGCTGAAGACACTATAATTCACTGTTTTTTTTAAACACTTCCTTATTTTCTGACATGGTGAATAGTTACCATTCCAGTTCTATAATTAGACATTTCCCAAGGAGCTGTATCTTCTTTTAATTGGAGAATATATTGGAAATGAGGAGATAAATGATAGTAGCTTTGCTTCTACTGGGTTTTATTGCTTCTAAGTCCTCTTAGTTAATAGAGAAGGCAAAATAATTGTGTATGCTAACTTGTACGTATGAACATATTTTTATGAATTTCAAAATGTTAACATCTATATTTATAATAAAATCAGAATGAATTCATATTGATACATTGTACTTCAATTTATTATTTCATGGATCTTTCTGATTTCCTATTTTTGCTTATATGTAATAGTTGTTCAAATAGTGAGACATCTAGTTCCAAGCATTTCACATCTGTTTATTTACTATTCCAATTTAAGTTATATATAGTTGTTAAAGAATCTTTAGCCAAATCTCAAGTAGAATATAATTTCACCAACATTATCAGTCAGTATATATAAACACATTTTTAGCTTTTTTCTTATCTATTCTACTTATTGTTTCATTTACTTGAATCATCCTAAAATATTTCCTTTTATTTATATATCTATCTTTCCCCTGAGACTTTATTGAATTAGTAATTTATTGGTACATTTTAGGTATACCATATAACGACATTCATCATTGGAAATTTGTACCTTTATATAAAATATCTTGGTTGTTATTTTTCCCAATTCCCCTTACTCCTTTTAACTCCTCCATTCCTCGCTATTTACATTGTTTCCATTTTT